ACCTATCATGGACTACTCACATAACTTCTGTTATTTCTGATACTAACTGTTCTCTCGGATACTTGCGCCGTAACATTAAACTTGCTACACCCTCCGTAAAACGACTAGCGTATACTACTCTTATAAGATCGAAATTAGAATACGCCTCATCTATATGGTCCCCATGGCAGTCCTACCGTGCAAATAATCTACAATCCGTCCAAAACAGAGCCCTTCGTTTTATTTATAACAACTACTTACCATATACCAGCATATCAGGATTACGTGAACTAGCTAATCTTCATTCACTTTTCCTTCGCCGCCGAGTATCACGCCTTTCTCACCTCCATCGAATTTTTTATAACAATAGCCACCTCAATGAATCACTGCTATCACCTCCCCATCGTATTTTCCCGCGTCTAGATCACCTATGTAAATTACGTTCAATTCGATCATCAACTGTTTCTCACCAGACTTCCACACTACCATTGGCCATCGAGGATTGGAATTCACTACCTCATAACATCGTTTCTTAATGATACTACTAAATTTGTTCAAGCGTTACCCTCTCTTTATCTAACCTACCTAACTAGCTTACAGTGTTATAATTGTGTTTACTGTTATATTTGTTTTTGTTCTATTGCCACCCCCTTGTATAATATGCCCCACGGGTCCTCAAGGAAAATAAATGATGATGATGATTATTAGCTCTGAAGCACAGTCTTGGAGCAAACCCAATGCTCTTCAATATGAGATATGGCTCGTCAGCAAAATAGTACCGTCCGCTTATTGATAAATGTCACAGTTTGAAGCAGATAAACGCATGTCATTGACATAAATATCGAAAAGCAATCATGAAAGAACTGAACCCTGTATAACCCCCGCGTGTAAGGAAACGTTCGTGCTCTGCATGCCATTGATATAAACAAGCTGCAATAGACCTTGGAGAAAATTGATTAACAGAGATAAAAATGACCATCGGAAACCGATAGAGGAAACTTTTTAAGCAAAATAGAAAGACACTCCATGTCAAATGCCTTACTGACATCTAGAAAACAAGCGCAGATAAATAAGTTGTGATAAAAACCGAAATTTAAATCATCTGACAGTTCTTCAAGAACAGGTTGTGTCCCATGTCCCGGCACAAAACTATATTGAAATTGCAATATTATGTTGTATTTTATGATATAACAAGACATAATTATATCATATGAATATACGTCTCCGAGATTGAAGCAAGACAATGAAGAATAGATATTGGTCGGTAGTTCTTAACCCGGTCACCTTTGCCTCCCTTAAAAAGAGGTTTAACACTGGAGGTTTTTTTTTTTATCTTGAAGGAATGATACCCGACTGTATTATTACGTTGAACATGAGTAGAAGTGCGTCTTACATGGGTCTAAAATTCCCTTGCATGTCGCAAAAGTTAATTTCAATACACACTGCTAATTTTTTAGGTTTGCGATTTGAAATAATAGACTCCAGCTCAATCATTATCACGAGTGGAAGAAATGCAGAGGTTAAATTGGAGTGGTGTAAAAGGCTGGGCGATGTTGGGCTTCATCTAGCTTTGCCTTTAAATAGTACGAAGTTGTTGAAGGTGTTCGCCGAAGCGAGGAAATCGGATCCAAAAAACTCGCTAAAGGTGTCAGCTTGTGAACCAGGCGATGCGACACCGAGTATTTCATTAATCAACGACCAAGATCTAGCAATGTTTGACTTTTGAAGCGAACAACTGTTATTGAAAATAATGATCTTAGCCGAGCGAATAAGTGCGCTTACTTTGTTACGAAGAATTTTGAATTCAGCTCAAAGGCTGAAGTTATGAGGTGAGCGCCGGATTCGTATCCATGCTACTCCTTTAAGTTGTCTGGCAGATAATATATTCTTATTTAACCAAAGTAGATTAAAATTTCGTTGCTTGCAAGAAACAACTTTCTTTGAGGACTTCGAAGGCTCCTTATATAGCTTTACCAAATGGGGGTAAATATCGGAAGCTGTAACATATTGCTGAAAAGGGCTGTTCAACACTAGAGCGCACGACACAAGAGCGCCGTCATTAGAGCGCCGACAGTAGAGCGCCACGACGTTAGCGCGCGCGATACGAGAGTGCAGCGACGTTTGAGCGCGCGACTCAAAGCGCAGCGACGTTAACGGGGGCAACTTGAGAGCGGAGCGACAGTAGCTCGCGTGTTATCAGAGCGCCCGTCAGGAGAGCGCACAACCAGTCCAGCGCGAGTGGCCCAACCCGACCGACCACTTCTTCTGACATCGGGTGTTTTATGTGAAATTGGCGGGGATTTACGCCGCGGCATTCAGCAAAATAAAGCTGACCTAGGAATCCTTTAATCAATCCTTTAAATTTACTACCTGCGGCACTATCCTTGTGTAGATGTTCGGTGTCTATACATGTCTAAAGCTTTTTTGTTCTAACTTTTATTTCTGTTTGTGCTTCGGTTTTTCCTTCGATATTCATATATTTCTGAAATCGTTGCCATTGGAATATTTCTGATTCAAGGCACTCTTCTTCGGCCCTAGAAGATTAAACTACTTTCGAAGAACAAAGGTGGAGAAGCTATAGAGTTCTGCTGAATGAAAACAGCAGACAAAGCGATAGACAAGCCTTTTTTTTTTGGTAGGCTTATCTCTGAGACATGCAAAAAGGCATTGCCTTAATGTTGTGTTGTTTTTTTTCAACAACAAAAGGTGGCGTCGTCACTGTACCCGACGCGTGAACAAATTCAGTTTTCGGAAAAAAAAATTATCAAATTCTAATTGAAAAAATTTCAGGGGAGCTTTTTCCTGTATCTGTCAAAATGCTGGAAAGCTGTGCATCTGACAAAATTACGCTGAGCTTTCTTTCGAAAAGTTTTTTGCTGATAGTTTTTTTAGCGGTGAGCTTTCCTCATTACAGTCATGGACATCAAAATCAGGCACGTAGCCGGGGGGGTGAACCCGTGGGGCCCGACCCTCCCCCCCCCAAAAAAAAACAAAATCTATTTTGCTAAAGCCTCCTCTCCCCCCCCCCCCCCCCCCCCCTGCCCCCGAATCAAAATTCTGGCTACTCGCCTGGTCAGAATAGTATTTAAAATTGCGCGAGGGACGTCTAAATAGACACCATATAGATCGGAGACAAAATGCCTGCCAAGAATAGACCAAATATAGCAAAAAGTAAAGTATTCATAGTAGATCCGAGAGGCGCACCGCAGCACTGTGAAGAAATCTTGGACACGCTACTCCACCCAACTGCAGATATCCTATGTGCCTATATGCCCCACCCCACTCCCCTGCCACCTTTTCTCACCGATGCCAGTAAACAATTCGTTAGAAAGAGTCAAACCCGTTTTATTTTTATTTGTTTGTTAAAGGCATATTCAATCACCAATGCTCCGATCCGATGCGTCACACAATTTTGTTCTCTCTCTGGAGCCGCGGGTACATCACACATATTGCGGTGTTCGCTCAACTGGGTTGCGCTCTCGTGTCGTGCGCTCAACTGGTCGTGCGCTCCCGTGTCGCGCGCTCAACTGGCCATGCGCTCTCGTGACATGCTCTCTAGTGTCAAGCGCGCTACTGTCGCAGCGCCCTCGTGTCGTGCGCTCTAACGTCGGAGCTCTATTGTCGCGCGCATTCCAGTTGTAATTAGAGACAAAGTTTACAAATATTTCTCGATTAAGAATTCCAACCCGATGAATCTTTTTACTCACTGCTGTCGGCGTATCTTTGGGGATTTCTAGGTGTCATGCAACCAAATAGTGGTCTGATTACTTGTGAGTAAAGTCTGCTGCTTTTGTCTTCAAGGATGCCGATCTCAGATTGATGTGGTCAATAGACGCGAGTACAAGTTTTTTCCTAAAAGTTCCTCTTTTGAGGGGGAAGGATTGCTGGTTCAGTGCCATGATCTGCTAGAAGTGTCAGATATTCACGAACTAAAGCCATTGAAGGCTGTAGTAAGTAGGTGTTCCGCGAATAGGTGTTCCGGATATGCCGCAGACCAATGGCGGGAAACCTGAGCGTCAAAGCTCGCCTGTGCTTGATGGAAGCAAGATTTCTTTAGGGCATTCGTAAAGCACAAACTCACAATGCCCCCAATTTCTGCTAAAGGATGGAATAGTATAAATGCTTCTGGTTGAATTTATTTTTCTTATCCCCTTAAAACTGCGGGTTTTCACCTTACTTTTTGGGAGCATACAGACCAAAGAAATTTAATATGGCAGGAATACAAATAACGCTACATAAGCACATAATAAGGTCAACGTATCGACTTTTGCGAAAAGGTGGTCTTTCGTTTTACGAATGCAAAATTTTAATGGCACGATCCGTACAGCGTGAGGAGTTTTCAATTGTCCCTCCACATGTACATGGGTAGAACAACAATACTGAAGGTCTTTAACCTCATCACGTAGTAGTGATACACGAAAGCATGCGAGAACGATCATTAAATAACTAGAAACAGGTAGGTGTTGGAATTAAACGTTAGAAAGTGAAAGTATATTTTTTTCAAAATACTGAGTTTTTGTTTCTAAGAGAAGTTTTATGGTGTTTAAGAGGGTAATCACGGGACAGCCTAATTTCCCATGTTTTTACTGACCACATGCTAAAAAATCACAATTTATTATATATGTAATTTTCAATGTTTAACATATCCTGGAGTTTAGAAGTGTCTTCATTCCTACTCTAAGATATGCAAAAAGCCTAACGGCCCCTGACCTCAATGATGGCAATTCAGGGCAAGAATACAAAACGCTTAATATACGGCAACGCGTACAATGATTGAGCGCTACCCAGTGGATGGTGTCTTTGTGTTGTCATACTTTTCATTAGTTTTTGTTCATTCTCTTGTGTCGGGGTTTTATAAGTGCGAAGATCACTTCTTTCGTAGTGGCACTAAACTCTTTTTACAATTTTTGTGACATTTATATTTGCGCAAATTAAGGATATGCGCCGCCTTACTTAATATAGAGCTGTAATTCGTGGTCTAGAATACAATTAGAATTTTAATATAATCTCCAAACACTCACCTGTAAATTTTGATACATGCAAAATTGTGCACTGTTGTAACTCAGTGGAAGGCTCATTCCTTTTGATATTTGAAATGTAGTAGCTTTTTCTCTGCATTCCTCAGTTACGTACTCATCCGGAACATCTGGAAAAGTGTTCGCGGAATGTACACAGATAAACAACGCTATGCATAGAAAAATAACTTTCAGCAAATTCATTTTCACGGGACTGAAAACCTGACTAAGCTTTCTGAGACTACTGATAGCAAACACAGTTCTGCCTAATACCAGAAAGATGCTAATGCTGCCGTTATATACATTTTACATGCCCTTTCAATTTCCGTTTCTTGACCTGAACTTTTCGGAAGCTGACATATCACAAGGGTTGTCTGAAAAGAAAATGAATAACCTTTTTTTGTTACGCGCACGGGCAGATCGCGACGTCAACGGTGCGACCTTGTAGGAGGCTGACATTTCGTGTAATCATACAATAGTTTAAAACCGAAATTTATACAGCGTGCCAACAGCTTAATTATCACCCCCAATGCGACAGAAAAAGAAGGAAGCGAGCACCTTACCCGAAATATATAAAAGATTTCATGCGCTATAATCTGGAGAGGGGACATGCCTAAGCACGGTATTACATTTTAGTCTAAATATACCAAATAGGGCTCGTGTGGCGTGCTGGGATGCATGACGTTAAGTGTAGAAATTTTATTGTAGCCAGATCATATCAGAGTGCTCGAAAAGCATCTAAAATATCTGAGTCGAATGGTAGGAGGTTAGGTTTCTATAAAGGGTCTAAGAGATCTACAAACTTTGCATATAATCCCCCACGCGGGAGACTGAACTTTTTTTTATGTAAATGGAATATCTACATGCCCAACATTACGCAGCAAGGAACGTGCTCACTGATACCTTGAAAGACACCGAAACAAAAGTATAGGAAGGCTCGGGAGAGTATTGGTGATTATTTTTTATGCGTGGTTTTTTCTATTCGCGGTTTTAGCACCCATTTGGAGACCTTGCATATTTAAGCATGACATTATCCTATAATCCATGTATTCGGAGTAACTTTCGTGAGTTATGGGCTGACAAATAAAGCTACGTGTCTGTAACTAGATCTTAGCCAACTCAACTCTATGAAATTGAAAGGCTTCTGGAATGTCACGGACTAGTGGTAGCACATTAATTTTTCGAAAAGCATTGAAAAATAACTCTTGCCTTAAACTTCAGGCTTTCCAGTTCAATGATCGCATATCTTGATCTTTACATGATAGTACATGATATTTTGCGTAGAGCTAGTTTCTGAAAGGTGAACAATATTTTTTTTAATATATATTATGCCGAACGTCCGGGTTAAAAATGACGTCTACGTATCGGGAAACACAAAAGAGCGAGATTGAAGTACCTTAATGTCAACATGTATACATAGTAGAAACATCCCAGCGATCTTGCGAAATGTTAGAATGGAGTGTATGACCTCTCTATAGAAGGATATCAATATGACATCACTAGTGACAGATGGGCCAGTCGGTACATGTTTTCTTTCGACGAAATGCGCCGCAGGACAGGGACAGAGTAAGGGAGACAACACTAAGCACTACTTTCAACTAAATGTTTATTGAAACAACACACAGTATTTTTTTTCAAATCCGGTGCGCAATGGCATTTGTCGCAGTGAATACCTAAATTGGCCGAGGGTGAATTTCTTACTGATAGCGCGTGCTCTCTCGCCCTTTCATTAACGCATCTGCCCGTTTGGCTCACGCACCCTTTTTCGCATGCCATTGGAATTTCGTCTACGACCGAAGATGCGCATTCCACGAATTTCCTAGAGTGCTTCTTTCTGCAAACGTCACCGCCATCTTTTTTGTTGTTAATTTCTTCAGACAGGCTGGACAGCCTTTCCGGGGCCCAAAACACAACCGACAAATCAAAGTGTGCCGCCAATTTTTTTACGTTGTATGAGACCTTGAGAATATAGGGTGAAACAGCGGGTCTCACTCTTCTGTTGGGACCCTGTGCTTCCTCTTTTCTTCTGTTTCATCTTGGAAACAAGTGTTTCAGCTACCTCCTCAAGAAAACGATCAGGGTAGCCCGACAATTTTAGGCGTTCTACCCGGTTGCAATAGCATCCTGTAACGCTGTCGTGGTTTATTCAACATGAGCCCTTAAAAATGCCGATTTTCTACTTGACACCCATGGTAGACATTGAGGCACACCCAATTGGCGAGAAAATGAAAGCAAGAAAGCGCGGAATTTTAGTTACGAGTTACAATTCAAAGGCGCTGAATATCCGAAAATGGCATATTTCAGGATTCACTTTTTAGGAATAGATTTTTGAATATTGTCACGAATGACGTGGTGACGAACACAGAATAACTGAGGAAAAAGAAACTTTGAATGGGGCGAACTTGTACCCTAAACAAGAAGGAAACAGATGATTACAACAGAGCCTCTCAGGCGTCGAAGTCGGCGCAACAGCAGGATTGAACGCTGGGGCGAGACTGACCGCAAATCGCCACGCGGAGCCCCTTATGTACGCGCGTTGGCTTCTGGAACAATCGGCCTAGAACGCTCGGCGACTAAAACATTCGGGACTTAATCGGACAAGAATGTTCTCAAACTCACGAGAAGGCAATGTTGAAAGAACAAATAAAAGGACATTTCACTGACTGGAATCGAACCTAGACTTTCCGCGCGACAGTCAAGCGCGGTAACCACTCGGACACGCATGCAGTCGCGCACCGATGCGCTTGGCGATATAGACTGTTGAATCACTTCACAAGCTGAGATATGCTTTTTAGAAACTCCCTGCCTGGCTAGTGTAAAAGCTGCAAGAATGTATCAGACTACAGCATGCTGACAATGTTTCGTACAGCATCTACTAAAAATTGGCGGTGACCTTTACCGCCTAAGGCTTATAATGCAGAAAATGCAGTATTTAAAGAGTGATTGTAGGACTGTCGAGAAGACACTACAGAGCCGTTTCGAGAACTGGAGAACCTATGTCGTTACCAGTTTTGCCACTAAATTTCGTGCGAAAACTGACTTCCTGCACAGGTCACGTGAAATTAATTATTCCCAACATTTAACAGCAAATATTTACTGGTGTACTGATGTGACGTGCGGTCACGTGACATCAATTTTCCCGCCAACATCTGCGAAGAAATTGAATTGGTCTATAGGTCACGTGGGCTGACGTCAGATCATGCAAATTTCCAAGTCAAGTTTAGGTGAGAAACAGAACCGATGTATGATCTAGTGACGCTAGATCATTTAGCAGTGTTAATTCTGCTAAATTTAGCTGACAAACCGAATTGTTGTCTAGGTCACGAGACATCAGTTTCACTAAAAAATTTATCACGGAAACGAAACTGGAGTCTCACGTGACGTTGGTTCATGTGTTGAAAATGTTCTCAATAATTTAGCGGAATATTACCGGGTGGTTGGACGGAAGAACAAAATTTTGGAATGGGAAGGTTCTGTGAAAAACCTTTCTTGCTTTAGAGAAATTTGATTTTATATTCTTCATTAAGAAAATTACCGATTGCGCGACGTCTCCTATCTTCGCGGGTTATAACAACCATAACGGCAATCAGAGGCTGGTTCAATGCTTCGATGTTTGCTAAAGTGGGGAGTTAATTTTACTTTAAAAAAGATACATCCTTTTTGAAATACGCAAGAGATTTATAATCAGGTTACTTAATTAGATTTATAACATATTCTGCGGAGCCACAAAAGTCGGCTAGAGTTTAAATGCGACAAGTAAAAACTGCATAAAAATCAGGGTAACCAAAACATAATAAATTCCTTTTAAAATCGGATCAGTCAGACCTTTTTTATCTAAATTAATGTAGCTAGAGATATAGTTCTTTATTATGAAATGTCGGCATTTTTAAAATGTCAGTTTGGTTGCTCAATCCGTCCAATCACTGAAAACAATGCGGAAGAAAAAATTACTGTGAGTTTAAAGTAATGCCTAACAAGAGCTTTTAATTATGTAAATGGCGCCATACTGGAGCAAATGCAGCTTAATTAAAACAATGGTAATTCATGGAGAGGAGGAACAAGGAGGACAAAGAACAAACAAAAGTCTCCAAAACGCAGCTGTAAAAAAGCTTCATTTTTCTTTTTTCTTTCGTGTTCTGATTTTCTTACAAAATGACATTGTTTTTGCATTTATTTCTTCGATTTGCGTTTTGATTTTCTTGCAATATGACGTACGTAAATGACCAACGAAGTCAAAGTTAAAAATAAAAGCTCGATCAACAATCCGATGTTCCCAGAAGATCGCCGCTTTAACTTATTTTCAGCACGCTATAAATATGTCTGGCTGGATGACTTTTTTATTTAGATACAAAACAAATGCACATAAAAAATATCATACGATAGACAAGCTAAAATGTCTTCGCGTTATTGGTGTGGGTGATGTTGGATATAAATCATAATTGGAAAGCGGATACGATTTAAATCATGATTCTTGAACAATTATTTAAATGCTTGCTTAAGTTCTATGTGGGAGAAACGACACTTCGACGGCTTCAGTGTGAGCCCAGCGGCCTTGATGGCTTGGAGCACGACCCTAAGCCATCTCAAGTGCGCGTTGAATTTGCGTGACAATACCATGGCTTCGTCGAGGTAAACAAGGCAACTCTGCCATTTCAATCCCGCTATCACGGTATCCATGAACTGCTGGAAATTCGCCGCAGCTCTGCAGTCTTCTCGCAGTCCTGTTCGTCGACTTCAATCTGTCAGTAGCCACTCTAAATGGGAAAGTTTTCCGCTAATATTGGCGGCGATTTTTTTTTCAGCTAGATTTAGCTCGGAGGATTTTTCTTCTAAAATTAGCGGGAAATGTTTTCCGCTACATATAGCCGGGAAACTTTTGCGCTAACTTTAGCGGGAAAATTCTCCGGCAAAATGTAGCGGGGAAATTGTTCCGTGAGTTTTAGCAGGTAAATTTCCCGCTACACTTTGCGGAGAATTGTTTGCGCTAACTTTAGCGGGAAAGATTTCCCGCTGAATTTAGCGGATAATTTTTTTTTTACTAAACTTGGCATGCAAAGTTTGACGCTAGAGTTAGCGACAAATTGTTCTCGCTAAATTTAGCGGGGATTCTTTTTTCGCTAAATTTGGTGGGAAAATCGTTTGCCTAAATTGAGAGGGGAAATTTTCCTGCAAGATTTAGCAAGGAAATGTTTCAGCTAAATTGC